TATGTGGTTTCCATTATACGGTCGGTATCGGTCCCTGATCAGACCTTGTTCTCAATTGATATCTTTTGCCGTTTTGAGTTTGAGTCAATACATGCAAAGACCTTGTCTTTCACATTTTTCTGCTGCTTTGCGTGTCTTACAGTATTTGCGTGCAAATTCTGCTCAAGGAATTTTCTTATCAGCAGATCCTTCTTTTGATTTGCTTGCATTTTGCGATGCAGATTGGGCTGCGTGTCGAGATTCACGCAGATCTATGAGTGGCTTCTTTATTACTCTTGGGGGTGCTCCTATCTCGTGGAAGTCCAAAAAGCAGGTCTCCATCTCACTTTCTTCCGCCGAGGCGGAATACAGATCCATGAGAAAGGTTACTGCTGAGATCACCTAGTTGGTGCGTCTGCTCTAAGATCTTTCCATTTCTCCGACTCTTCCTGTCCCCGTTCATTCTGATAACCAAGCCGCCATTCATATAGCTCGCAATCCCGTCTTCCACGAAAGAACCAAACACGTAGAGTTGGATTGTCATTTTGTAAGGCAACAATTTTTATCTGGGCTTATTACTCTTTCTTTTGTCCCATTACTCTTTCTTTATCTGGGGCCATTACTCTTTCTTTTGTTGACTGGACACGTGGACACATCAGAGCCTTAAATCATTTCTTATGAAGACTGCATCTGGGCCATTGATTTTAGAGAAGCCAGCTGTGAAGAAGAAGGTTCCTCTAAATTTCTTTACGTGTTCCGCACATGTATATAGATAGGAAGGAATAAAAGTTGTTATACACATAGCCAATAGGATATTCACAAGTGTATAGGAATAGTTTTCTTTTTTACATTTCTTTTTACATCAAATACTTGTATAAATGTATTAGTGAACAGTGAATACAATCAAAGAAAATTTTCACACTTCATTTCTTCAGTTTTCTTTCACAATAAATTAGGAGCAAGCAACTAAAATTGAAAAAAATGAAATATTGATGTGTTGTTGAAAATTGGAGTAAATTTCATGGGTGGTCGCTCAACTTTGTGTTCATTACCCAAAAGTCACTTTTTTTCTTTTGTTACGTAAAAGTCATTCAACTTTATGTTCATTACCCAAAAATTAATTTTCTTTCTTTTGTTACACAAAAAATATTTGTCTATGTTCTAGTTATCACAATAATCACTTTGACTAAATTTTACAAACCTTTCACTTGAAAAGTCTATTATGCCCTTGATATTATAAATCATCTCATTTGTGTAATACATTCTATATTATATGCTACATAATATACTTTTACCTAGGTATTTTACTTATAATTAAAATAACTTAATATTATTTTATTTATTTATTATAATATATTCATACATTTAATTTTTTTTTTCTTAAGGTTATTTTAATTATATCTGTGGATTTGATTGAGTAGGTAATATTTCATGCTTATATTGTCTATTTCTAATAATTTTGATTAGTTTGGTTGAAGAAAATTAGGAAAGACCGTTAATGGATTATAACGATCCAGTCAAGATGTATAGTCAAATTCTAAAGATTTGTCAGGATTATTGTCAAATTTGGCAAAATTAATATAGTTTTTAGTAAAGTGAGGAACTGTTTGATAGAACACCTTATGATAATACAACATTTTTTTCCAGCTTGGGATAGTACTGCACGGCTGCACCTTATGGGGATTACTAGTTATTTATCTGTTACGCACGTGTAATCTTATTTTTATGTCGAGTAGGAATTAAATAATCAGAATTAATTAGAACCACATAATAATTAATGTAACTAAAACCACTAATGAAAATGTAATACTACTGCATCAAAATTATTCCCAACCGATGCGATCAACCAAACCAACCCTATATTTCCAATTTTAGATACGCAAAAATCACAAGGCCTTTCTAAATCTACTCTCTCTCTCTCTTCCTTCTGGATTCTTCATCTTCTTCATCGTCATATCTTCCATTTTCCAATGTCTGCAAATACACATAGTACCCTCAACTCTCAACTTATGGGGCGTACTCTCCGAATCAAAGCGCATAATCAATGCCCACTCTCGCCATTTCTTAGCTCTTTCAGTTCTCTTCCTTTTGCCTCTCTCTTTCTCACTCATCACCTACCCTTCTCTTCAAATCACTCTCCTTCAATCCGGTTTCACCATCTTCCGACCCGAAAACACCCACCTTTCAGCTTTCCCAGATGACCCAACCCGGATTCTTATTCCCCTTGTATTCACTCTCTTTACTGTTCTTCTTTCAGTTTTAGCTATTGCTACAATCACCTACAGCAGGCTTTATGGTAGACCTGTTAAGCTAGTTTCATCACTTAAATCGGTTTTATTTTCTTTTTTTCCTATTATTTCGACCCTTTTCGTTTCAAATGCTGTTGTTGGGTTTATTACCATCTTTTTTGCATTTTTCTTGGTGTTTGTGGTTAAGGGGTTGGAGTTTCTTGGACTAGAAATGGTCTATGATTCATATTACTTCATGGGCTTGGTTATTTGTTTCGGTTTAGTGCTTGTATGGGTCTTGATTTGGCTGCAGGTTAATTGGTCATTAGCTTATGTGATTGTAGTAGTTGAATCTAAATGGGGTTATGAACCTTTGAGGAGAAGTGGTTATTTGATAAAGGGGATGAAGTTGGTTGCTTTATCAATAGTGTTGTTTTTTGGGGTTTTAATAAGCTTATTGGTGGTTGGTTGTTCGAGTTTTTTGGTTACTTTAGGAGAGGCAAGTGGTAGGTGGACGAGTTTTGGGGTTATATTTCAAATGGTAGTGAGTTCAGGATTTGCAACTCTGTTAATGCTTCAGAGTCTTGCTGTGAACNCTAATGCTTCAGAGTCTTGCTGCGAACGTGGTGTTGTACATGTATTGCAAGGCGTATCGTGGGGAGTTAGCGTTCGAGATCGCGGAGGAGTTTGCGAGTGAGTATGTGTGTTTGCCTTTTGATAATGAGAAGGTTCCTCGTCTTGTTTGTGTTGTTCAAGATTGAATGTGCCTAAGGTCAGTGAGATTATGTTAGGATGATGCATTTAGTAGTTTGGAGAGGTAGTGTTTTGTTTTACTCAAAGCATGTATATAGTTTCTTGTTTGTTAGATAAATGATGGAAGATGTGTGTTACCTGTTGGCAATGTGCATCGTTATCTGTAATAAGCTCTTAATACTGATATGAATTTTCCTTCTAGTTTTCCACTTTTCATGTATCACCCTAGTATGAAATCTGAAGTTAGGTTGAATATTATGTCCAGCTTAGGTGCAGTGGTATCTCATTACCTTGCTCTTGAGACTTGTGAGATCTAACTTGATTTGAAGTTGTGGAAAAAATTAAGTGTACATTGAATCAGAAAAGGGAGCATTGGCGTAACTGATAAAGTTATTGCCATGTGACTAGGAGGTCACGGGTTTGAGCCGTGGAAACAACCTCTTGCAGAAATACAGGGTAAGGTTGCCCCACGCATAGCGGGAGCTTAGTGCATCAGTATGTCCTTTGAGTGAATCAGTAACAATGAACTATGTCCTTAAATGGACCCTGCTATTTCTCTTCCATGCGAATCGATCCCAGATGAAATCATGTTGGTTTAATAGTTTAAGCAAAAAGAAGAAAAATTTAAGTTCAGAGCTTCTACTTCTGAATACTTATGCTTATATTGGAATGTATGCAAAATTGGAGATGGTGGTTTTACTTGCATTTATATGATGTAAGGCCAGTTGCAAAGTGTGTATGATGAGAATATGGGATGATCTGCCTTGAGACTTATATTGTTTTACAATGGTTCAATGTAAAACAATGAATATGTAGTTGCATATGTCTCAATCCAAGCACATATATGAAAACTTCTTTGCCATTCGGATCAGAGATTTATAGAGGAAATTGAGTTTTAAATTCCAAAAAAGGCATGATTATATAGTCGAAGTGAATAGGCTGCGCCTAAATTCATCTCAACAGCTGCTAATGTTGCTACAAAGTTACTTCTTGGGAAAGTTCAAATCTAAAACAAAGAACTCCTATATAAAGCTACTGTAGCAGGTGATTTCCAGATGGCTAAGGTGAAGAGAAGAAAATGATAAGAGAGATTCCATGTAGTGCTAACTTAACCTATGTACTATCTGATAAGTCGAGTCTTATGTTAGTCATAGAAAGAAAACGCATTTTGAGTGTGCTTCTTGATTTTTACCCCTTAAGGTTTTTCTTCTTAGCGGAAGTGGAGCTGCAACAACCCTGACTTGTGTCACCGGTTTTCGAAAATCCTCACAAAGCAAATGAATCCCCTTTCCACAACTCCTCCAAACTTTAGCCGTTCTATTATCCTGAAATAATAATGCTTCTTAACTACCCATAATGGTATTTATATAGGTTAGCTCTAAGGTTTTACACGCAGGAATAACTAATGGGATCGTATATCATCTAGCACCCCTTATGGGTGGACCAGACCTAATAATATTTTCCAACAGAAGACGTCTCCACGACATACATTTGACCAATTATATAATCTTTTTCCACCAAGTATCAAGAATAGTTAAGCCGACAAATGAGGCTTGATCAATTGATAAAAGCACCTCCACCCACGACCGGGTTCGAGTCACCCTAGAGGGAAATGTGGAAACACTATAAATCCTCCTAAATTGGGAGGGATTTAAAAATAAAATACAAAAAAGAATAGTTAAGGCAAGCAAGAGAACCCAGTGGATTCTCCATAGAACATTGAATGAACAAAAAAATTGCAACTAGAATTCCAGCTTCCAAATGATAGCAGCCAGAAGTGATCATTGAATGCTGCATTTGAGGACAAGAGAATGATATAATCCTTTTCCACTAAACATTTACAGCACTTCTCTCACCCAAAAACCAAAATTGAACTCAATAGCCAATGGAACAGACCAAGTTGAAGGTATATACTACTGGACAAACATCATCAACAAATTAAGAAATGTCAACAGATCATGTAACTTCAAGAGCTTACACAAGAATTCCGACTATGTTTTCGAGGCTCAATGTTTCCTTATGTTAGCCTGGCTTGATGAAGATGGTACCATCAATCTTCTCACTCTATCATCTTGTTGATCAGAGCCAAAAAGAATACTACTCCACCTTGTTGACCTTTGCACAATGCGAGTAGGCACTCGATCACTATCCTCTCCACCAGATGCCTCGTATCCATCACTAGTCGACCTGGACAGTGGAGTGTCCTTCTGAAGAGTCATCCCAGATGATAGGCCCACGAAGCGTGTAGCTTCTTCAACTCCTGATGATGACACCCGGAGTGGGTGAATGTCAGGAGAGTCCAAACTACTCTCGGGGGAAGAAGCAGCAACACCACCTGAGCTGGAAAGTACTCGGCTTGTTCGGAAATCACTACGTCCTTCAAGCTGAAGTGGAGCCAAACTACTTGATGTCTGGGACATGATAGCATTTCTACTGTTTTGAGCTATATCACTAGGAATTTTGCTCAAGTTTTCAAAGGGTAGCTCTGTGGGGAGTCGAACACGTTTACTAGCTCTCCTTCTATTGTTATCAGGCCTAGGCACCATGCGACGACCACTACTTCCTAAACTGCTATTTGTTTCAAGGGTGTAAGGTTCTTTGTTTCTCACCACTGGCTGGAGAATTTTGGATTTCTTCCTCGCTTCAGCAGCAGCTTTTGAAACATCCTCTGCATTTAATCGTGCCAACGTCCATGGACTGATCTTCACAGCAGCTGGATTCCTTTTCTTGATTGGCTCCTCTACCGTTGACCTTTTACCAAGTGAACTGACCGATACAGTGTCAGGAGCAACTACATCGTACTGCAGGGAACCACAAAAATTAAATGAGAATTAACATCTTTTATTCATATAAAAGCATTAAGCAAACACTATCCATCTCAACTATAATCAGACCATATGAAGTCCTACATTTTATTTCACAAACTAGACAATCCCTTAACCATTGTAACAACCACGCATCCACGCCCAAAACTGTTCAAGATTTGCTATCGGTCAAAGTAGATTACTATCCTCAAGAAAATAACTTAGCAAGAAATCCATGCTGATAGCAGAAGGTTCTATTTTCTAGAAAGCCATAGTAATTTTGACAACAAAAAAGTCAATCTATCAAGCTCAAGATTGAACATACTAGCTCTAAGGAGTCCACTTTGAAGAACTCTTCGGAAGCAAGCAAAGCATTGACCGCACTACCGGGTTCAGTGGAATTGAAGCTAAGAAGCTGGAAAGTAGGAACTACATTCAAATCCTGATTTAACTAGAAGAAAATCATGAATAAGCACCAAAAACTCGATAAAGGGCTGCTAACACCATGACCATTTAGTGCTACTAAATTCCAGAAATTATCACAATTGATTCCTTGCTAAACCATACCTGATCCTCAACAAAAAGGCGCGGCGGTGTGCACCATGCTGCTCGATGGAAAGTATTGAAGGAGCTTGCACTGCTTAATCCAGTCAAAGAGCTGACAGTTGACATTTGAGGACTTTGCTGACCTGCAACTCCTTGTTGTTCTTGATCTCTGAGAGCAATGATGTAGTCGTAGGTGCTAATTCCCTGTTGACAAAGCAAACATACTGTCAGCTGATGAAAGAAGCCATACGATAGGATCACCAGATGACGAAATGCTAACCTTCTTTATGAGAAGTATGTGAAAGAAGAAAAGCTGAGCAAGTGGCAGGGTTGCGATCATGGCCAATATCGTACAGACAGCCTGTTACATGTATAACTAAAATCAGACACATTTCAGAGATAAAATTCTACAAAGACAAAAATGTTTTCCTTTAAAGATTAAGACAGAACAATTTGTGCAGATTCCTAACATTGAACACGTAATTAAGCAAATAAAAGTATGCTCTCTCTAATAGTTTAAACTTTTGGATAAATGGTCAAACACTTTAACATGGTACCAAAGAAGACAAGGGTTTTGAGTTTCACGAGCCACCACCACCCATTATCAAAAAGAATTTCTATGTGCTTGGTTCATGAAAAATAATCAGGCCACAAGTGAGGGGGCATGTTGAAGGCAGAATTAAGCAAATAAAATTATGCTCTCAAATAAGATAGTCACATAATTCAACACCTAAATTTCATTTTCTAAAGCAACTCAGCATTGGCATGAATAGTTGTGTTACTGCTTTTTCTGCTTACTACAACCTTTCTCAAAATAAAACTATAATGATGGCATTAAGGAATATAGGGTCCTGACATAAGGGCAAAAAGTAAGAATATATACTCACCACCACAATAACAAAGGGAACGAGGGAAAAACTGCTTCCTAATTTGGAGGTGATTTCCACAGAAAATTTCTTCTTCTCGATGAAGCAGTAGATCAGTACAAAAATTCCAGTTGACCACTGAAGTATAAGCTGCAATCTCAAGTCCAAAGTTCACAAACCATGTATAGACCTGTCAATAGTCAATTAAATGGAAAATGCACAAATATGAAATGTTTAATGTCGGAGGTGACTCCGACTGTGGGCAAATTTTCTTCAGGAAAGAAGGGAATAGAAAAAGAATCTTGGACCCGACATGAGAGGTTTTTCTATGACAGTTCAAAAGCGGGTCAAAGCGGGTATGCCAATGACCAACCATCCTCCCTCCCACATTATGAAAAAGAAGTAAAGGAGAAAGGGGGCAAGGAGGAAGGTCGAGGGAGGGAGAGATAAAGGAAGAAAGGACCGATTTCAAACCGAAGATGCCATTTCAATTCTAAGGTAGCGGATACACCTTCAGATAGAAGATAATTATTTAATAGCCTGTCAAACTCATGACATAACATAGAATTCTTTAGAACTGTGTGTAAGCACACTTGAAGCTAGCAAAGAGTGCTTGATCATACCAGGAGAAGTGCAGAAACCATGAGGGTAAAGAACTTGCGATAGTTCCTTTTACCTATGCAGTTGTTCAGCCACTGCAGAATCCCAAAAAAAAAATTAGGAGGTTTTTACATATATGTAGACACAGACAAGCATCTACGCAAGATGTAATATGTTTCAGACCACTCAAGTTTGTCAAATACCCTGCAATGATGATCAAACTGATCGACGCACTTGTCGCATACTCTACAATGCTTGCTGTATTTAAATACCTGCAAATGTCATCCAGCATTGAGTATTAACTTATGAACATTTATTCCAGCAATCTGTCTAAAATAAGAACAGTTACATCAAGCTAAGCACATCATGAACTTAAAATCTTTTCTGGAAATATTCATTTTTTATTTCCATTTTCCTAGAGAGACAGATAAGATATAACGACATACCGTCGTTTTAACACCACCAGGAACAGGAAAAAGAAATTCCAAGGAATCCAAAAAAGTGAAAAATTGGATCTATGTCCAA